GTTGACTTAGATGCGTATTATTATAGAATAGTTTTTTTAAGCAAAACCAGAATCTACGGTGAGTGTACCATCTACATTTCTGGTAGTTTCCACTGATCACCTTATCAAGCAATATTTGAGTGCAAAATCATACAGATGTATACTAGACAGTATTTTTTTTAAAAAGGCCCAAACACTTTTCAAAATCCCTCATCTGCACTTAAAAACACCACTTAAAATCTGTTTCTTAAATTAGTATATCTAATCTGTTTACCCCTGCTTTATTTAAAGAGAATAAAAGAAGGGAAAGCTTATGCAGTTTATCAGCTAGCGATCAGTTTCCAACCTCTGAACAAACAACTTCAACTGAGACTGTATTTGTTCTGCCTATTCTATGTATGTTAAAATTGTAACTGAGGATGACAAAAAGCTGTCTTACATCCTCTAACTCAACTAACACCAGCTGGAAAATATAAGCAGAAAGAGTTATTCTAGTGCAAAATCTGAATTTTACAAATATTTGTATCGCATTCCAGCAACTGACACTACAATACTTGAGTCAAGACTGCAGAGATATTTCTCCTGATTCCACCTGTAACTTGAAGTGCAAAAGCCTTAAAATTTGTAATGGGATCACTAATGCAACTTGGCTAAAAGTTCTGAAATGTCAACAGCTGTAGTACATTTCAGCCCTAGAATCTCAAATTAAAAGCTATGTCTTTAATTGAAAAATACTAATGCGCTGACATTCACCTATACTCACAGAAAACTGATATAAAAAGCTACACAAGTTGCAACGTGCTGTTCATAATACACAGGCAGTTTACAATCACGTTCTCCAAAAATCTCACATCTTTTGTATTCTAGTTCAGCTCAAATTTGGAAGCTGAAGAGTGTTGAGTTAAAATCTTAATAATGACCCCTTTCAAATATACTCTCACTTCAGTTTATGTTCACAAGTTCCCAAAAATGCGGTATACAAATCAGGTGAAAGTGTTATGAAGCAGGACAGTTTGGTACTTTGCCTGCAGGGAAGGATTTCTCTAGAGCTACAAGGCAGCTACATTCAGTTTTCCTGCCTCCCAGCATCCTCAGCTGTAAAAGCCCCTGGATAACACAACCTTCTCCAAGTCGCACAGAAGCACTAGGCACGGACAACAGCATACCCACAGCATAAACAAGAATGTGTGAGCTGTAAAAGGTAGTATCACAGTATCACAGTATCACAGTATGCTGGAGATTGGAAGGGACCTCAAAAGATCATCTAGTCCAATCCCCCTGCCAGAGCAGGAACACCTAGATAACGTTACACAGGAATGTGTCCAGGCGGGCTTTGAATGTCTCCAGGGAAGGAGACTCCACAACCTCCCTGGTCAGCCTGTTCCAGTGTTCCGTCACCCTCACTGAGAAGAAGTTCCTTCTCAAGTTTAAGTGGAACCTCTTGTGTTCCAGTTTGCACCCATTACCCCTTGTCCTATCATTGTTTGCCACCGAGTAGAGCCTGGCTCCATCCTCGTGACACTCCCCCTTTATATATTTATAGACACTTATAAGGTCACCCCTCAGTCTCCTCCAAACTATAGAGACCCAGCTCCCTCAGTCTTTCCTCATAAGGGAGATGCTCCACTCCCTTAATCATCTTGGTTGCCCTGCGCTGGACTCTCTCCAGCAGCTCCCTGTCCTTCTTGAACTGAGGGGCCCAGAACTGGACACAATATTCCAGATGGGGTCTCACCAGGGCAGAGTAGAGGGGAAGGAGGACCTCTCTCGACCTACTAACCACCCCCCTTCTAATACACCCCAGGATGCCATTGGCCTTCTTAGCCACAAGGGCACAGTGTTGGCTCATGGTCATCCTGTCGTCCACTAGGACCCCCAGGTCCCTCTCCCCTACACTGCTCTCTAGCAGGTCGTTCCCCAACCTATACTGGAACCTGGGGTTGTTCCTGCCCAGATGCAGGACTCTACACTTTCCCTTGTTATAGTTCATCCCGTTATTCCCTGCCCAGCTCTCCAGCCTGTCCAGAGACTAGATCTGTGTGTGGTCAAGAAGTATGTAATGGAAGAGTATGGATGAGGCAACAGCACCAGGGCCTCACCTGAGAAGGTCTAGAACATGAACTGGTGGAAAAAGTAATGGTAGGTTAGAGGAGAGTAAAAAAAGAACACAGGAAATTATATGGAGTTAATGCCCTAACGTAGCAGGATTATTACAGGCTGTAAGTAGATAAAGACAGACAAACTTGTCACACATTGCAAGGTGGAGGGTGAGCAGTACCAGTATGGAGAGGAAGCAGAGACATTTCTTTCACAGAAACATGGCCTGCTATTTGTGCTGCTGAAGGAGACACAGGAAACTTACGTCTCCTCCAGGCTTAATTCTAAGGCTCTTGTTTTTATCCTTTATTAATAAACAGTATTTTCTTCCATGTTCTTCTGAAAGGCAAAGCCAAACAAAATCCCTTCTCCTAAAAAGAATTAATGAATTAAAAATAGATTGATTAAATTCCTCTTTATGATAGCCACAGCTGATTTAACACTCAAAATGTTATCTCCATGTTTTGGAGCATTTTTAATGCCACAGTTAACAAAGATGTATATTGGGAGAAGGAAAGAAAAAACAACTTCATAAAGATTTTTTCAAGGGAAAAAATAAAAACAGGCAGGTTACTGACATGCAAAGCTTTAGCTACCTCTCTACTTTTTCTTCAAAAGCCTCCTTTAATTCTATGCCCAACTGATCTTACAGTATATGCCTCAAAAACACTCAGCAATGAACCTAGGATAAATACACACAACATAACACCGTCATAAACATTACAAAAGCAATGATTCCTTGCTGATTTAACAGCTGGAATATAGTGCCTAATTCTACTGTTTTTTTGTGTAACAGTAGAAATAAAAATCACCATCTTGGGTAGTACTCAAGTATTTTCTATCACTTATTGGAAAAGCACAAAACAAACAAAAACCACAAAATAAAACAAAGCACTCTAACATTTCACAAACTCTTTTTTGCTCCTGCCTTGCCTCTTCCTCGATTTAAAATAACCTTTAAAAAACAAAATTAATGTTTAAAACCAATTCTAAGTTCCCCAGTTGGTTGAGGAAACAGGGCAAAAAAAAGTATGCCTTAGAGGAACTGGAAACAATTGGGAACAGAACAGACCCCAAGACAGACGTGGATTTCAGGATCAGATTATATCATAGAATCACAGAGTGGTTAGGGTTGGAAAAGATCATCTAGTTCCAACCCCCTGCCATGGGTAGAGACGCCTTACACTAGACCATGTCACCCAAGACTCCAACCTGGCCTTGAACACTGCCAGCGATGGAGTATTTGCCACTTCTTTCGGCAACCCATTCCAGTGCCTCACCACCCTCACAGTAAAGAATTTCTTCCTTGCATCTAACCTAAACTTCCCCTGTTTTAAGTTTAAACCCATTACCCCTTGTCCTATTGGTACAGCCCCTGATGAAGAGTCCTCCTTCAGCATCCTTAGAGGCCCCCTTCAGATACTGCAAGGCTGCTATGAGGTCTCCATGTAGCCTTCTCTTCTCCAGGCTGAACAGCCCCAACTTTCTCAGCCTGTCTTCATACAGGAGGTGCTCCAGTCCCCTGATCATCCTCATGGCCCTCCTCTGGACTTGTTCCAACAGTTCCATGTCCTTTTTATGTTGAGGACACCACAACTGCACACAATATTCCAAGTGAGGTTCCACAAGAACAGAGTAGAGGGGCAGGATCCCCTCCGTCGACCTCCTGGTCATGCTTCTTTTGATATCAACAACTTTACTGACCCTTAACAATGACAAAAAACCCTCTGCTTGGATGAAAGTAGAACCTCAGTTCTCCTTTCAAAAAGAATCATGCTAAAATTCAAAGTTTTAAAGTTACCTCTCTGTACATGTATATAAAACTATACCTATGCATACTCAAATCACAGGTGCTTGCCTGAATTCGCATCAAGTCTAAAATAACCGACTTAACATGCTGAAAGACACAAACTGCATTGCACATCGCAACATACGGTTACTCCAAGACACAGCAGTTACATAAAGATGATGCGTTGCAGCTGAACAGAGCTCTGCACTGTGGCCCCCTCCATAAAAGTAGGTAGAGCATCATGGCTCTAAAAATACAGTCCTCAGGAAGGGAGCTTGGACTCACTGTTTCCCCACCATTCCTAGCCCTACTGCACCCAAATCCCTGCCTATGGCAGGGGGCTTGGAACTAGATGATCTTAAGGTCCTTTACAGCCCTAAATAGTCTGTGGTTCTAGGATTCTAAATGGGAAAGAAGTGACAAACACCAAGGGACATGAAACACCTCCAAAGGAAAAACACCTCTAAAATGTGCTCAGCATCAAACCAGAAGAGGAAGTGCAAAGCATCCATGCTGTGTTGCACTGGCTCCAGATCACTCTGGAGCATGGATTCACTTTCTTTGTCTACCCAGGTGTATTAAAACAAGACTGTTGGTACAGCTAAGCAGAGCAAGATCAGCAGCAGTTGGTAGCACTACAAGGAGGAGAGTAAGATGGCTACTAGGAAAGCAGCATGAGATGAGCAAGAGTGATGTAGCCACACACTCCGGAACAGAAAAGGTTGAAGCCACTTCTGTGCCCCTGTCTGCCCGGCACACAAGCATAAAAGAGGTGAGGTAAGCAGCACAACTCTAGCAGTTTGCTGCTGAACTTCGTTTTCTCCCATTAAAGTGGCCATCACATGTCCGCTTACAAAGGGGTGAACATAGACTATGTACAGTGCAACACACTGAAAAGGAAAAACCAGGAGACCCCACGCAGACCCAGCTCTGCAGCTGCCTCACCGGCCACAACCCGCACCCTGCGACGAAGCCACCGGCCAGGGTAAAGAGGAGGAGCCGCCGCTCCCTTCCCGCCCCCGCCCCCGCCCCCGCCCGCCAGTGGTTCCCTCGGGACCTCTCCCTCCCTGCCCCACCTTAGGCGGCCGTCCCACAGTGCCTCGGCATCGCGCAGGGGTCACCGCGGTAGTAGGAGAGGGGCGGCCGTGACGCTGCCGCCTTCCCCTCGTTACCTTTGTGCTCGTCATCCAGGTAGCGTATCCGCAGCTCCTCCTCTTCCTTCGCCTCGGAGCCGTAGCTCTTCCCGGCCGAGGGGACAGTGGCAGCGGCGCCTCCCCGGACCGTCGCCCGTTGGCCGGGACGGCGGAAGGAGGAGGTCGCGGCGGCTGTGGCTGCCAACCTGACTCGGCCTTGCAGTAGGCCCAGGCCCCGCAGCGCCGCCGCCATGCTGCCGCCCGCGCCGCCTCAGTCTCTCGCGACCGCCGGCCCCGGTCCCGCCGCCCACGTGACCCCCGGCTCCCTCCTTCCTTCCCCCTCCCGCCGCCGCTGCCGAGGCGCGAGGGCCGTGCGCTCTGCTGCCGGGCCCCCGGGGCGCCGCTGGCTGCGGGCGGGGACGCGGGAGGCTGCGGGACGGCGCAGGGCAGGGCAGGGCTTGGGCCTGGGCTGGCGGTTCTAGCCGTGGTGTCAAGCGGGCCAGGCGCTGCTCTCCTAGCCGCAGGTGGCGAGGGAAGGCTCGTTAGCCGGGAGGGATCCGGAGTGTTGCGCCCGCAGCGTGAAATACACTGGCACATAGAAAAGTCTCACACCGGGAAAACCTGCTGTTCAGTTTTACTGTGAGTTATCAGTAATGGTGGAAATTACCACATACCTATCTGTGGTGAACCTGCCTAGACCCCATGTCATGGGCAACATGCTGCAGCTCTGTGACACCAGAGTAAATGGGCACAGGCTCCTCTGCAGTCGCTTCTGTTCAACTACTGCAACCATGGCCAGGCCTGGCAATGGCATCAGCACTGACCACATCAGTGACGGTCAACAGCACAACCGTGGTACAAGTTACAGGCTGCGGTCAAAACCACAACAGCAGGTAGCACCTGGTTCTGCATGCTGAGATAAAAGGCTTCTGGCTTGGTTTCTTTGCGTTGCTCTATGCCCACCCTCCTCTTTCTAGGCACTCGGAATTGCTTTCTAGGTAAATCTGTCTCTTTGCAAAAGTAAGGGTCAAACTAATGCGGCCTGGTATTCAGAACTGAGTCTAGTTGTTTTAGAAACCCCACCACGGGGTCTCCTTGCCATCCATGCACACTGACAGGCATACTGACATGAAGCGAGTCAGAGGATGTAAGTGGTTAAGGTGCACGTAGGAGATAGGTGCCATCTTTAATTGCAAATGCAAATGTTACAAGACTATTATGACCTGTTTCAATAGGACAGTAGAATTTCACCTATCCATATGCCAATACCACAACATTTACAGGTACCAGAGTATATATGTATTAAATGAGTTCACTTGACTCCTTGTGTAGGACTTGAGAAAGGTTGCCATAGCTGTGATTAGTCTGGGACAGTAATGAGACTTAAAAAGCTGTGAAGTTTGTCTTCAGTTTATTAACCTGGAAAAAATGGGCTTTGAGAATTGAAAACATGCCAGTGAGCCATGTCCTGTCGTTTTCAAAACTCAGTGTTACTTAATCAGGGGGACAGAACTTGTTCCACTTCTGAGCAGAGGGTCAGATGCAGCCATTTGGTTGTTTGCGAAAGCCAGCCACTGCATTCCTCTCCTTCATGCAGTTGCTCAGCAGCTCTTCCACTGCTTTTCTTCTGGAGAAATGAAAGCCTAAAAATAGTGACCTCTTTGTTCTTCTAGAGTACCATGAAGGGCAAATGTAGGGGGAGAAACAGGCAGACTATCGCCTTGCATTTATTATGTTTTACTATTTAAACTGGACTATAGCTTGTGATTAACAGCCTGTGCCAATACAGCCTGCAGTATGCTGAAGTCTTTGCCAGCAGAAAGGAATAAAGAATGCCTGACCTGGAAATTTTGTTCACAGTCAACATTTTATTTTATGAGAACAAATTTTGAAATACCACACCCAATTATGTCAATAGAAATAGGGACAGCACCGTTCTAAAAGTCACAGAATAAGGTAGAAAGACATTAAAAGCAGAACTAGATTGACTACATACCATAACGTTGCCTTGAAACTGGGCAGATGTGGTGTCATTTGCAGTGGTTCCCAGACTCAAGAACTAGTGGATGCTTTCCTGAGCAGAGGTCAGTATATGGAATCAAGCCCAACAGAATAGCCTCGTCTGTTGTAAAGCACCCGCAGTCATGGTTAAAGCTAAAAGAATTTTAGAAGTACAATTTTCTTGTACATCATCACTGTATGTTTAAAGCTGCATGATACTTGTCTTAAGTGTGTTTTGTTTTGGTAATTTAATACTACAGTGCCTTTTGTAATACTGTGTAGTTAGTTCCTCTCATTGAACTGACATACAGGCATGAATCAAGACTTTTTGGATCCAAATGAAGTTTCCATATTCTCTTGCTGTTTTTTTTTCGCTGAAGTTTAGTTCTAGCAACACAGCTTTTAAGTCAAAGTAGTACATGGAAAGCACATTTAGTTACAGAGGGAAAGTCTATTGACATGCAAACTGTTATTTACACATATATACTAATACGAAAAACAAAAGGGGCAACTGGAACAGAACTGTTAAGCAGCAGCCTTATGTGTATGACATTGCTTGGTAACCTGGTTCCAGCTGCACACGGAAATCCAAATATTGGTACTTGGTGATGAGTAAAATAAATTGATTTAGCACAACTGTATAAATCTTGACTCAGCCTCCCTTATACCCAGAGAAGCAATGTGAGCATGAATGAAAATAGAGCCAGTGTAGATGGAGAACAGCTCAGCAGTTCTCTGCACTCAGCTCTAACTTTTAATATGGTCAGTCAATCATAATCTAATCCAAGGGAAAAAACTTGAAGGTCCTTCACCTTAATTAATTTTACTTTTGAAATTACCCTGAAAACCACATTCGCATCAGGTTGCAGGTTCTCACAGTGTACGGGACTGAGACTGAAAAGGGAAAAATGCAGCCCCTTTTTTAGCTTCACTCACAGCTTCTGTTCGAAAATGCAACCTGAAGGGAGGGGAATTTGAGTAGGGGAATGGTGTCCTTTTTCTGGTTTTGATACAGTACTGTTGCAACTTGGGCAACACAGCTTGTATGTGCAGAAATCAGAGGATGGCCTACATGGTTAGTGAAGAGAAGTTTATTGTTCAACATGCTTCAGTGCTGGGCACCTGCCGTGATTCACTTTCAGGGTTACAATCCACTCTGTAAGTATAATGGTGAGTGTGGCCTCTGAGGTCTAAATTAGGTACCTAAAACTAGGGAGGGTGAAAAGTACTTGTGGATGTTCAGTTCAGCATCTAGTATTACTAAAAATACTAATAAAACATTTGAAATGAGACAGAAGAATAGCTGTTATACTAATTTGCTACTTTACAGGTGACAATGAAAAGGTACAGACAGGATGTACAATGCAGCAGGAATAAGAATGGAAAGGAATCTCAGCTGGTTCTAAGTGGCTTTGATTTTATTACATTGTGCATGTAGATGAGGTGCAATGAATAGTTTCATTTTTCCTGGATGAGCACGTCAGTGGCAGCATTTAACCAGATGAAAAGGGAACACGTGCTATAGAAAAATGAAGCACGCAATTTTGGCTTTTCAAGCTGAATCACTTGTCTCTGTAAAGTGACTGTTGATATTTGAGAGCGAGATCCGTTTAGCGACCTGTTCTCTTAAGTTGGTTTATAAAGGTGGTTTCAGTTTCACACCACCCACCAGGAGCTTTTGTCTCTTCTAATTTTCACATCTTTCCTTTTTATTAATGGCAGATTTTTTCTGATTTTTATGTTATCCAGTTAGCACACCTACATTTCCAATCTTGATTTTTAACTTTTTTTAAAGCCTTTTTGGTCTTCTTTAAACACTGATACTGGGAAGACAAGTCCGTTGTTGTTGTGTATTATTAAGCATGTAGCACACACAGCATGTTCCCCTTTCTGGCACCACGCCTATTCACAATGTTTTGCAGGCAGCTGTTTCCTTAGATTGTCTGTTTTCTTTCTGCTCAGTGCAGTGTTGAGATTATAATGCTAAACTGTATGATGGGTTTACAGCTTACTTTTTCTTCTCAGAAATTATTATTACTAAGCTCAGACTAATTGGGTATGCTTACAAGTTTGCTTACGTGGCACTTATTACCTTGTTCCAACGTGTGTAGATGAAAACATACTTTTGTGTCACTCATACTTTGGAGTAAAGGACAGATTTGTCTTTGCATTCATGTCAACCCCATTTATTTGTGCATATGATCTTGCATCTTGAAAATGTAGACAACTGCATTGAATTGATGTAGTTCATCCTGGCATACGTAAGCCAGGGACTTCTTACTTGCTTCCCAGACATGGAAGGCAGCATAAACCATTCTCTGCAGATCACAACCAAGGCAGAATGCTAAAACAATTGCAGGAACATAAACGTGCTGAGCAAGGCTTCTTGCATGGGTAAATTGGCAGTAGTTGCCACAGACCTACAAACATGTAATACTGGAAGATCAGAGCCTTAAGAGGGCCTTAGGTGCTTGTAACAGGAATTCGGCAGATACTCTGTGAAAAAAAAATACAAAATGTTTTCTTCTGGGGCAAGGCACGTAGTTTATCCCAAAAGGGCATGAACAAAAGGTATTTATTTCTGTGGTATTTAATGTAAGCAAAGGTAGTGGGAATAGAGAATTGATGAACACCAGAGATTGCTAAACATTGAAATATTTGTGTCTAATTACAACTCCAAGTCTTTGATTGCAATACAGGTCTTCTTTTGCCAAGCTTTTAAAAAGCTTTCTTGTATTTTTGAAGCAGCTCAACAGAACAAATATTCACCGGCTTGTTTAAATAATGATGCATTCAGGCAAATTGCCATCAAACTGCAACATCGTTGAATGCTTTCCTTAAAGTGAATGTATGCTGTTCGGCTATTTATAAATGTTGTTAAAATCGTTTATTTTCTTCATGATCAGGATTCTAGAGAAGCCTTTGTGTGAAGCAATACTCCCCTTCCATCTTTATGTCCTTTTGAAGAACTCCAGAGCCAACTATATTGTTAACTGTATCTTAGAGGATCTTTGCTTTGACAGCTGGTAAGGTAAGCTCTGATATGGTATAGGGAAGTCAGTGAAAGCTGCACAAGCACAGAAACCAAGTAGCACACTGCTGCTGTAACTGGCATTTGATTTAAGATAGTTGATATGAAATTGTAATATAAAATAAATTTACCAATTTTATCTGGGTGGGTGCGTGTGTGGTAAAAAGCTGCGTGGGCCTCTGCTAAGGAGGCAGTAAAACAATCCTGTCAAATCTATACTATCTAGAAGAATGCAATAGAGCTAGTTATTAGCCCAGAGAAGGAAGCACTTTGGAACAAAGAATTACTCATTTAATAAACACAATATCTAAATGCAGAGAGTGGGGTTTCCTTCCAAGCAACCATTTGGTTAAATAAAGGGGCAATTCGTCTGGATAATGTTTTGTTTAAAAGTTTTTGAATTAAAGCAGTAAAGGATATTTCAGTAGAACTTGCAATGAAGCAAAAATGACATCATTGCAGTCAGGTGATGAAAAATACTTTAATGCTTCTGTCCTGGTGTAATGTGATTTCTAGTGAAAAAAACTTACAAAGAAACTCTGCACTATTTAAAGGCAATACATTTGTCATGAAATCCAGGTTCTTACTAGGAGATAAGAGAAAACTGGTCTTTTATGCTCAAGCCATAAAATGTTACAGAAAAATCAAAAGCACTTCATAGACTGTTTTTATCAGATGTAATTGTTTATTAGTCTTCATGAGCAAGCCAGGAGTTCAGATGTATGTTACATTTCTGAATGGCATAATTATATTTCCCTTCTGTTCAGCTAATTTCTTTTTTTTCTTTCCTATCAGGTGGTTTATGTCAGAACACAATAACTGAGCTTACAGTGGATGTACTGTAGATAATACCTGAAGTTTCAGATACTGTTTACCTTTTTGTAAAAGCTGCAGCAATTTTTAAGAAAGTCATCGCATGGTTACTGCTTGAAAAATATGTCACATTATGGGCAAATCACTTGAAGATAAATTTTAAGCTATTATGATGTAAAATGTATTTATGTTCTTTTCTTTTTTAGTATTTTATAATTAACTATGTCATGCTGAGATCTACTGAATATATTTCATTCTAAGAAATGACTCACATTCATTTTCACCCCATATGGGGAAGATACTGGGGACTTTTTTGATCTTCTGTTCAGTTTCATTAGATTAGGATATATTTTACATTCTAACCTTAACTGTATTTTCCTGCATTCTTTACCCTCTGCATATTGATGCAATTAACAGTATGATAAGCTGAGCAAGCATTTTCACTGAAAGCTTATCTATCATATAGAACTCTTGTCATATCAAAGAATCTGAGTGACCTTGTGACCTGAATTTCCAGGGTGGAACAAAAGGTTAAATACTCACCGTCTTCATGTCTCACATGGATACAAGATACGGATACAGATGGTTTGGCATCTACGTAAGCTAAGGACTCCTATGTTTTGTCAAAATGGTTTTATCATAACCCATCTTCTACTTAACCACCTCATTTAAGTCATTTGTCTATGTAAGAAAGCAAGATCCTTAAGATCAAGAGCAATGAACCTAGTAACTGGTATGTGAAAATAAAAGCAAAATACATACTGAATGGCTAGTATTTTATGTACCTAGGCACACACTGAAAACAGAGTTATTCATCAATACCGGTAAACAACCATTTCCAGCACAACAATTTTCAGATTTCTGGTTTCTTAACATTCTTTAAAGGCATGTTTTTGTAGTTCTTCAAAATCAGAATCTCATCTAGGAATCAGTTTTTGCAGTTTGTGAAAATTAGTCATCAATTAAAGAAAAATTATCTACAAAAATTAGCCTGTCTTCAGAGTCATGGTTAACATTTCTTTATAGATAGTATCGTTTTGTGTATGTCACTTTGTCTGGAAGATGAAACTACATTCCAGTTACCTTATGCCCTGTGAAGTATGTTTTATTTGCTAAGCGCAACACAGCAAATTGTGTCTTCTCAGCCCTACTGGCAAAAAAAAGTTTATATATTTAAGCACTTCAGTAAAGTGGAAGACTTAAAAAAAACCTAAACCAGGTTTCCAAGCCAGATTGTGAGGCTAATATTGCCCACAATTGCCTACTTCAGAAATGGCCCATAACTTTCAGAACTTTATAGTATTTGTACTGTTTCAATGCCATACCTGAAGAAAAAAAAAAATAATAAAAAGTATATGGTTTCCTTCATCGAAGTCTTTCAAACATGCCATTTTCCTGTGGTATATGCAGCTAACAATAGGTGGAAGAAGTAAAAATATGAACAAGAATGGGATGCTTCCATGTTCTGAAGTAGTATGTTAAAATTGTTTAGTGAAAGAAATTCCCAAGGTGTTCAGCAGAGCTAGTAAACTCCGCACTGGAATACACATTTAATACAGTTGGGTATATTAAGACAGTTCTTGATGTTACTCTTAATCCATGTATTAATCTAATCTACATAAAGTAGGGATTCTGTGTTTTGTTTAAAATGCTTTCATCATAACCTTTTTTCTGTTTGAACACACCAGTGTAATTAGGATTTGTATTTCTTCCAAGAGAGATGCAGAATACCTGGGGCATCTTTCTTCTCCCTTATCCTGCACCCTCTGTCAGGAAAGCTCAAGGGAGACATGCTGTACTTCTTTGAATTCATGCATCTCTGACAGAGCAGGACTAAAATTGACAGTCCCTCCAGTAGCCACTTCACAGGAACATAACAATACTGTAAAGCTTTTGTAGTCTTGATATCACCACAGCATCTGGTTCCTCAGTTATGTGAGCCTTGTCAGTGTAGTTTCAGTTCAGCTGCGCATTTTAGGATGGGGCAGAAACAGCATGAAACATCTGAGGATATGTCACTGCTTTGATTCTGCAATGAGATTTTTAGTAAAATTTCTAGTGCAACCAGTAGCTCTTTAGCCTGGAAAATGAGGAGCAGGAATCTGACCCAACAGAAATCTACATCCATGTGTATGTTTGCATTATACTCAAGCCACCTCGTAGTAACAGATTTCAGTTAAAGGGAATGTCATTTAAAGAAAACAGGATTTATTTTTTTTTCCATGACGTAAATTAAATTGTGCTGCATTAGAAATATTTTTAAAAGAAGTAGTTTTACTACTCTTCATATGTTAAACCTATGGCATTTCTTAACATGGAGTTACTAAAACACATCAATGTACAGCCGTATTTCCTGGTGGTTGCCTGTGTTCCCATTTTTCAGAATTCAACCTGATATGTTTTAAGTATGATTTTTCAGAGGTGATGAGAACCTGCTACCTCTACTGAGCTTAGTTACAGCCGTAAGTAGTCATGAAAATCCACTGTGTCTTGCATTAGGTACGTAAGAAAAAAATTAGTATGTCTGAAACTTCTGGCAACATCTGAGTGCCACAGATGTTACATCAAATATTGTGAACATCTGAAATAAATAAGCAGAATGTATGGACCATCAAACAGAAGTATAATGTTAAAAATGGAAGTGTATTCAGTATTTGTATTCATTTCTTCACCCTTTTAGCAGAACATAGTTGTGCTCTAATAAAATCTTACTTGCTCATAGTCTTGTTTTCCTTTTATCATGTGCTGAATTCATCATAATCCTGTGTTTAAAGCATCAGTCTGTTGCCATGGAAGTTACTGTCACAAATTTAGTTAGAACTTCATGACAGGATCAAATATAAAATGTGGCTAGAGAAGAAGAAAACCATTGTTCAAGTAGCAAAGCTTGGGTAACAAGCTGAAAGGAGAAAGTGCACAGGGATATATGAAGAGTAAGGCAATTAATTATTTAATTCTGCTGGAGGAAAATTCCCCTTTAAAATTTTCAAATACAGGGTGATGTTTCTAGAGATAGATAAAAAACATTATGTGTCATAAACCTGAGCGTTCTAAACTGTCACACCTTGAACTGTTGTATATACCAAAACAGAAATTTACAAAATAGCCACGATAGTGAAAAAGAAGTGAAGGGAGGTGGGTTTTCGTAGTGAAAAGAGTAAGAAAATAAATAAGCTTTAATTAAGAAATGGTATATATAATATTTATTAATTACTGAGAAAACCATTTACAGGTTTATTCAAATTAATTTTGACATAAAAAGTGACATTTCTTGGAGATCAGATTTTGCATCTTTTTAGTAATTTTTACTGTATCTAAGACTTTGATGTCATGGACTGACTGAAAACTTCTTACTGGCTTTATTATGTGGTCTGTCAAGGCTTGTCAGAGCATGTTTTGGAGAAAAAATGCACTTACAGGGTGCTCGGTGGCACTGACTGAGCTACTTTTCCATTCCCAGTATAGAATGTAACCAACTGTTATATTGTTATTAATAGAAAATTAGTAACAAAGGTAAAAACCAGATTAATTATAAGAATCTGAAGACAGCAATTTTTGGGGGAAAAAAGATATAAAGGAGGTGCTGCAACCTTCGAAATATGTATATTGCAAATATCCTCTTAAGTGGCAAAGCAATTTATTTCATAATTATAGGACTAAGAAGCCTTATGAATAGGATAAAATTTAAAAATACGTTGTTTGCCTCAGTATTTCCCAATTGGCTAGCTTAGATTGCTTGCCACTCACATTGCTTTTTGGATATCATGCTCTGAAGCATCCAGGTCTTCCCATGGGCATATAAGTTCCAAAAGCCCTTAGAACCCAGCAGAGCAACTAGGTGTCCTGAAAGTTGTATGTTGAAATGCTCCGTATCGTGACACCCAGCTCACTTTTTGAAGAATTTAGCAGTAAAAGGCACCTTTTATGCCTGAGAAAACTGATGAATACACTGTTTGTGCAGAGTAACAGAGGCCAAAGTGCTTACACTGAAGATGCATCACGCAGGCAGACCTCATAAAAGATGCAGGTGAAGTATACTCCAGACCCTTTCTATTCTGTCTCCTTTCTAACAGAGGGACAAATACGCCCAAATCTTGCCTAACCTTGGAACCAGGAGATAGTTGGAACATGCAACTAGACCCAAATAGGTAGAGAACCACCGCCCTGAGAGATCTAAGAAAAAGGAATAGGTATCCTCTTCTGTCTCCTGGGTTAGATTCTTGTACAAGATGAATTTGTAACCACTTCCTGTTACTCATTTTGTATGGTATTTGAATGCTTACCCTGTATTCACCAGAGCTGCACATCTAAGACCCCAATCCAAAACCCATTGGAATAAATGGAAAAGTCACATTGATTTCGAAAAAGAAGCGAATGGAGCCAAGATGTTAAAAGGAAAAAAAAGTCACTATTACAAAGTTTGGCACTGGGAGGTTGCTTATAGCTTGTATATTTCATCTTCATAATAAGGCAGAGTTTATGCTACCTAAGCTTTACCTTGTTAGTATCTAATTGGAAGCCAGGCATAAACTTCTTTCAGTCAGCACTTCATTAAATTTACAAGCAGTTGCACACACACTTGTGAGTTGCACAATAGATCAGACATACTTAACTACTTGAGATCTGGCTTTGGCACATAGCTATTAATCCAGACCCACTGTGGGTTTTTTTCTGTATGTGAGGGGCAAAAGCAGAAAGCTATTTCATATTATAGTAGGAGCCACGTATATTTGTCTACCTGCCCACATCATAAAGCAGTTTACAATTGTAATAAATGTAGACATTCCGACTAAGATTTGCCATGCCGAATGCCCGCCTCAGGCTGTGGCTAAATTTAACCTGGAATGGCCCAGCCATTTCTAAGATTGGCCTTGGAGGAAATTAACTGTCATGAAAGATATGCCAGCTAGCCTTATGTGTTGTCTCTGTGTCTTGTTACAGAGAGCTAGACTTTGTCAGTAACATCACTGGAATGCCAAGGATGTGCCTTTTGCTAACTTTCCACCTTTCTGTCAAAAGTCATGCAAATGGGCTAAGTTGCAGTGTTTCCATCTTGGAGGGCCTACAGTTTAGAAATGAAAACATGAAACTAGAAAAGACAGGATAAAATATCTGGATAAAAGTGGTTCCATATGGTAATATGGAAGCACTGTCATAGCAGGAATTAAATCCATTGAAAAATCTTTTGATTTTTTTTCTCCTCTGTTTGAAACCACTTGTAAAGCTACATTTTGTGTACAGTGTCTATAACAATCAAACCAACTTACTGTCCTTATACACTGCTGCTTTTTTTGCTCTCGGTGGAGCAATGAACTTCTCTGAAGTAACAGGTTATTCATGTAGTTGTGCAAGATTCTCAAAAATAATGTGAACAGCATTGTATGATCAGGTCATTTCCTCACATGGAAAGAATCTCGTTTGTGAGAACTTAAAAACAAATGTGAAAGAATCCTTTTCTTTCAAGCGGCATAGCTATCCGCATGGGAGACATCAAGGATGGAGGGAAAAGAATTTGGAAACTTACTCACTCTTGATTTGTGTTGTTCAAACTCACCCCATGAAAGTTTTCAAGTGATAAGGTGCAATATCAATTAATTCTTTGCAGTGCTGGGCTTTTCAGTCATAAATGACTCATAAAATTTCTCAGGGAGCTTGTAGGTGACCTTGTTGTCTGCCTTAGTCTGCATCTCTAAGAAAACCTTGCGTACAGGAATCATAGGTAACAGGGTTTCCATGAGGTCAAATGGAAAGAAGTAAATGCCATCTAATATCAACAACTCCCAATACCCCTGCAAGACTGTTACTGCAAGGGAATGGATACTTTTTCATCCTTTTGCAGGAAAATTCCAAAAGAGCTTGTAGGACCTGCAGTTCTCCCTTCTAGTAAGTGCTAATAATACAGAAAAGAACTTTCTGTAAAATTAAACATTCACCTCTGCCCTACATATTTTTCTCTTAATGACAAATTACACAAGCAAAATGACATGCATTTGCTAATGCTTTTTTCCCTTAAATGGTTTCCTAGCATGCTCACATTCAATCCCCCAGTTCTGCCTGAATGTTGCTGGGCATATTTTTTGTTATGCTGTAATGCTACTGAATTATTTTATTTTATACACTGAGGAGGTTCCAAAGATTTCCAAAGAAAATAACTCTTTTTACAAGACTTGGCAGATGAGCAATAAAACAAATTGGGGGGGGGGGGGAGGGGGGAAACTATCTTTTAACTAGCTAAACAGAAAATGCATATCCAGTTTTTATGTACATTGAAAATTTTTACTACAGAACGCTGTAAATATCTGAATTTTGGTTTTTTAATCAAAGCAGTCAATAGGATTATTTGGAGGCAATTCATACACGATAAAATTTTATTCATTCTGCTCTATGACAAAGTAGTAGAAGACCTCTACAGTGTCTTCAGATAAAATTAAAAGTATTGAATATGTTTCAAGATAAACAGTAAAATGCTGGTACGACTGAACTCAGCGGATATATTCCTTTTAACAGCATTATGTCCAGGATTTTATTTTGTCCTGAAAAAAATAAAGTGTTTCCTTAGGTTTTTGTGTTTCATTTAATCAGAATTCTGAATATTCTGCCTCCTCTGCCTTTCTGCTAGATTAGATATATTCTCTCATAAGCTCTGTTACTAGAAACACACAATGCAATTCCAGTCTCCTCCTTTTGAAAGTGACTATGGATTTGTAGCTGATTCATTTTTAGAAGATTTCATTTCCTCACTCTGAGAAAGCCATGCTCCTCAAAAGGTAAGGCAACTGAAAAGCGGTGACAGATGTAAAAGTGGCAAGAAATGTAAAGGTACTGAATCTGTGACAGATCAGTTTATGGTGGTACATGGTACAGTTAGGAAGAGAAAACTTGTATTTAAACTGGATCAGGAAAATGAATTGATTCATATCAATGAGAATAGGGAATTCTTATAAGTAAAGGAACTACTACTACTAAAAATCCAGCAATATGACAATTTTTTAGATTAGCCTGGAAAAATAGTGAACACGTTCTTTTGCAGTGATGGTAGATGTGACTTAACTGGATTTTTCCAACTTTAGTGTCTTTGATTCATTATCTGAAATCAAAGTACAGAAAAGGCTCAAAAAAAAAAAAAAAAGTGTCCAGTCAAAGGACTTTCAAATTCCTTAAGAAATACATTTTTCAAAATTCACACATTTTTTACTACTACAGCCTAGCTAATAAGTTTCAAAGACATCTTTGTTGGATTGTAGAGCTTTTTCACATTATAAATGTGAAATGTTTACCAGCATTTTTTGAACTAAATCGAGTTCCTAGTTAGATCTGTGTGCAGATTTTGATCCAGTGAGCTAAAGCTTTTTCAAGACAGCATTGAGTCTTCTGACCTATATAATTCTTACTGCTATGCAATAAAATAGTAGTAGTAATAATTTGACAGTGAGGTGATGAAGTGTTTAATTAGGTAGGAACTGGATACAGGTCAAGATGTGATAGTGATGCTGAAAGATAATGAAAATAATTTGTAAGTGAAACAATCCTTCAAAAAAAAGGGTGATTATAATAAGCACATATTTTTTAAGTAGACCCATAATTCAAAAAGCATTTGATGAGCAAAGATAGCTAAACTACTACTGACATTTTCATGTATTGTTGTTTTCACGTATAATTAAGTTTTCAGTAGTGGTTGGAGTCAGATGCAGAGCAAATTGTAATGGCTATTATATCCATAT